AAATACAAAATTATAATTTAAAGAAGTAAATTTAATAAAATATTATTTTTAATTAATTTTTGTTTTTTATTTTTTTAACATTCAGATTGATTTTTATGTGTTAAACACTGCATAAACTATATATTTCTGAATAAACTAAGCTTTTAAATTAAATTCGATTGCATAATTCCGAAAATTCCAATGAAAGAATTCTAAGCTGGCTAATAAATATATTTACAAATATTTTATGTGCATAAAAATCGAATTTCATATATGCTAGAAAATTAATTTTGTGATATTCTATGCAACAAATATTTGCAACTAATCCGGCTAAAAAATATGAAAGCAGCTGCAGTGGGGGAAAACAGAAAAAAAAAAATAGATTAAGTGGCATGTCAAATGGTGGGGAAGGAGAACAATAAAAACAAATTCCCAGCAGCAACAACAACGCAAGGCCCCAAATGTTTAAAGGTGAAAAATTGTCTGATCAAAATGCGAGTCAAAGAGGCAGATCCAGCTGCCGCGGCAGATGCTCAAGGTGCTTGGCCGTATGACAGGCGTTAACTTTTCAATGTTGACATCCAGGCCCCTTCGACCAGCCACGCCCCCTGCAGGCCACGCCTGTGAGCGCCAACGTGTGCCGTGTTTTGTGCGCTCAATCAATTTTGTCAATTTTCTTTTCCTGCTTCTTTTTTCGCTCCATTTTKTTGTTGTTGTCTTCAGCAATGATACCCTATCTTTTCTCAATATATAAATATGATGAGAAAGTATTAGTTGTAGAAATTTACGAACGAGATATTTGATATGTATTAATAGCATAGATAAAAGTATAGTGATCTAACCAGATCTAATATTATGAAAACTTCGTAAAAGAGTTTTTTCTTATTTTTTAAAGACATTTTTACAACTCATTTAAAAAGGAATATTTGCTGCTTATATAGCTTGAGATATAGAAACTCATTTTTGGTAAATGACTCATAAATGATTTATAGGATATCTTCAAGTCGGCCACTTTTCTAGTTTTGTTTATTTTTTATTTTTATTTAGGTACAGCGCGCACGTTTGGTTTATTTATTCCTGCTGCTTGTCGCAGTTGAAGCTGTCTTCATAGCCATTACCGCCTCGTCGGCCCCTCCCCTTGCGCCATTCTCTCTGCCCCACTGCTCAATCCCTCGACTACGCTGCTGATGATGATGGCTGCACGTCTCGCAATGCTCTGATGTGTGTTGATATTTGACACTTTATTATGTGCACATCATCAATTTTGAAATTATTGTCAATGTACGGATAGATTGGAGAGCAAAATAATATTCGCGATAAGGCCAAGTTGACGATATAGCAACGGCGAAAGCTTTTGATGATTATCTACATCTATTCAATAAGAGGTTCGACTATAAATTAGTTTGTGTTATCCAGAAACTAATTGAGGTTATGTAGGCAAGGGAGTAAAATACTGTTAGATAAGATTAATTTAA